CTGATCCCGGCGCTTTTCCTGTGTCAGCGCCAGGGCTGCCAGGACAGAGCCGCGTGGAGGGTGCAGGGCCCAGGGCCTGGTGCGCCTTGAGGGGTGGTTCTTCCTGCGGGTCCCACAGCCATGTGAACCCCTTGGGCACAGCCTGGCACCCCGTCTGTGTCACCCATGCAGGGAGCACCAGGAGCCCTGGCTTTAGGTACATGCCCCCACCCTGCTCTCTGGCAAGGCTCTTGCCTGTGGGGCTGCTGCCCATTCTGGGGGCTGCATTGCCCCCCCCATTCTCTGCCAGGCCAGCCAGCACACCCCTGCCCCCTCCTGCCCTGCTCTCAGCCCCTTCTCAACGCCCACGCCGAGGCTTTGCTCTGTTTCCACTGAGTCTTCATTCGCCACCCCTCCTGCTGCCTATCCCAGGTGGGCACTGCCACCTCGCATGCCCCATCCTCTGGGGTGACACCAGGCAGGGAGGGGATGACCTGCCCCACGTGCCCGTGCAGTATGGGAGCAAATCTGGGCCAGGCACAGCACAGGGGTGCTGGATACGGAGCTTACCCAGCTGTGGAGCGCAGTTGCCCCCCAGGCACCCGGCTGGGAACTGTAGCTGGAGGCAGATGGTGATGCCCAGGCACTGGGTGCCTCATTGGTGCCCCATGGATGCCCCTCAGAGGCCGTGGCAGTCTGGGGTGGGGGGTTGACAAGGGGTTGTCCTGCTGTCCGGGGCCACTCAAATATTTGTGCAGGGCCGTGACCGGGGAGGAGCAGTGCCCAGTGGAGGCACTGGACGGCCAGAGTCAGCGACACCATGGCAGTTTCAGCCCCTGTTGCGCCAGGCACCAGCCGAGGTGGCTGGGCCAGCGGGACCCCCTCCGCCTCCCTGGTCACCACCACTAGCCCCCCGCCTCCCTTGTCACCACCACTAGCCTGGCATTGCTCCTCTCCCTCCTCTTGCTTCTCCCCAGCTCCCTCCAGGTGGGTCCGGGCACGGGGGGTGGGCGCTGGTGGCCAGTAGGCTCGGCACCCCTCTCCCCACCCCGTCTGCCCCTCTGGGTGCTGCAGGAGCTCCAGGGGGCAGGGCGGCACGCAGCCCCACGGCTG